TCCAACAAAATATACGGGAAAGAATCTGACAAGAAAAATGAGCTCTATTCTCCCTTTTGTGTATCTGGTTATGAATCATCTCTGGACTTGTATTAGTTTCCACTTTGTGTATCTGGTTATGAATCATCTCTGGACTTCCTTTCCTGTTAAGACAGCATTGATTCCAAAGTGCTCTGGAGCAACAAGGAGGTGACATTTCTGTTGTCGTTGTGTCTACGTAAAGCCATTCTCGAAAACACCCTATTTAAAAAAAAAACAACAAACACCATATTACAGTTTAAAATTTTTTCTTCTTGTTGAATCATCCTTGTCATCATTAGAAAAATAAAAATTTACACAGACATGTATGGTTAAAAGCAGAATTATATCCCCTTTTATTTTGGTCATATAATTTTGTGGATAGAAAATATGTTTAAAAACTTTCAATTAGCAGCATTATCTCTTCCATACAACTATATATTAATGTACCTCTCCCTCTCTGAACCACCCATCTGCTATTTAACCCCTTAAAATAACATATTTTGCTCTTGGTAACCTTACAGTTATCACTGTTGTTAAGAACCTGTTATACTTGAGCAAGACAGTAGAAATGTATGTGTACCACAATTTTTTTAGTACAAAAGATTCTCTAAGAAGCAGTATTTGTTGATTTTATACTTTGGTTATTTTCTAAATGTAGGAGACAAACAGTAAGTACTGGATTCACCTGTAAATCACAGATGATTGTCTATGTCAATAAAGAATATTAGAGTGAATAGCCCGCTTTCAGAGGACCCTTATACACAGAGTTTTAAATCATGAAATCGAGGTCCAGGAAAGTTAAATGGCATGTTCCAAGCCCCCATGAAACCTGGGATGAAATCCAGTTCTCCAGGCATTTCTATGATCACACTGTATGGAGATTTTGTGAAATTATTCTTAAATTTTTCTCATTTATAAATTCATTTAAACATTGTGAAGACCAGTGGCATAACCATTCATTATTCTCAGTGGGTTTATATGCTGAGTATGAATAAACTATGAATGGAGTGTAGTATCTTTGCTAAAATAATTCACAAGTATGTCAAAGAGACAGACATACTCATTCCTCTAATATAGCATGTACTGTGATGGTAAACCAAGAGCAAGGAGAGAAGAAAAGCGAAAGCACTTGATGTTGCTGATCACAGAGAACAGGATACAGGATATAAGGGACTTTCCATTTAAATTGGATTTCATTAAGATTTGTCAACCTTAGAAGGAAGTCAGGCAAACGTAACTCCAGGTTAAACCAAACCAAATGAGATGCATGAATACACATGGCTTATGTAGGATGGGCTATTTCAACATGTCTAATACTTTCTGGAACAAGAAAGAAGTTATACTGCATACATCTGATACACTACATGGACTTTGAAGGGGAAAAAAGACCCAAACTTAGAGTAAATAGATGCTGGTAGTGTAGTATGATCAAGGTGGGTTCCTAACCAAAGCGCTAGAAGTTTGAATCAACCAGCTATTATATGATAGGTGGATAGGCAATGTTCTCTGTTTTAGGTCTCTCATGTGGCTAAAACAGAGATCACAAGTGGATAACTTTAACAAATTTCTTCCCTAATATTAGGAAGCTAAAGTCCAAGTTCAGGATAGAAAGTCTAGAAGAAGGTACTCTCCCATCAGCTGTGGAGTTAAGATCTTGTTTCCTTAAACATTTAGAGGTCCGTTGTTTCTTGGAGATCTTTGTATTTTCTTTTCTTCTTTGGTTTCAAAAAGTTTCATCTTGCAGTGTCTTGGGTCCGTAGAGATGAACTGAACTTCTTGCAGTTATTTCTTGGAGGGACTCAAGGGCCCTGTCTTGCCCTTTGCTATTATCTCTGTTAGTAATTGTTAGCTGACCCTCCAGTAGGTTTTCAGAGTCAGTATATTGCAAGGGAGGAGATTTCTTCTCTCTCTCCTGCAGAGCAGCCTGGGGATACAAACCAAGGACCTTTGAATTTGACACCAGGACTTGCTGCTGTTTTTTCTAGTGAGAGAAAAGCTTTATAGTTCATACTCTGAAGGAATTACACTTAGACATGGTTATGATTGCAGTGACATTAGTGAGCACTACATTCCATTCTAACCTCTAACAATTGTTGTACAAGATAATGGAGAGTTATTACATAGCCTCCACTTTATATCATTATATACACATATTGAGGGGCACAATTCATCCAGGGCATCTTCCTCCAAAATGTACAGCCTTAGGGACATACTATTAGTCAGAATTGATTGGACAGCAGTGGCCTTGGGTTTCTAGAAGGCACTGATGACTTGCTACCTTGACTTGGGTTAACTGGTTTTGAATTTGGCTATCGTCACAGTCACAGAGAAAAGTAGTCAAGAAATAAAAACATATAATGAAGCTGCCATGGCCCATAACTCTCACCTTTTCAAATGAGAAGGAAAATTATGTCTCCAAGCAAATGGAAGAGAATTTCCCCAGAAGCTGTAGCTTCCATCTCAGGAACAGCTAGTGTGATGATAGGTTCCCAACGCTCTAATTGGACAACTTGGCTAAAAAAAAAAAATCTACTGTTCTCTTTCCCTCTGAGCTCAGAGTTCTTATCTGACCTTTCCCAGAGAGCATGGACTAGAATTAGTAGAGAGAAAATCCTTACTTGCTTACTACTTAAATGACGAGATTGTGGAGAGTTTGACTGCTTTAGGCTGCTGGCATTGATGTACAGTGAGATCAGAGAAACCAAGAGTTATGGACTGTCCTTCAGAACTTAGTCTTTGCTTTCTTGTTGGGAAATTATTTGAGACCTTTGTTAGCTATTGGAGCACCATCAGTTTGGTAAAATTCTCCTGGAATGTTCTGATGTGTAATTGTGAACAATGTTTATAATTTGACTGATATGAAGGGTAATGTGCAGGAGATACCATTTTTCCACGTTCCCCAACATGCACTGGGCCACTTTAGAGGTTTCTCTCCCATTTCTAAATGTCCTGAGAAAACAGGAGAACAATCTGACAACAGAACCCTGACACCAGAGGGGACAGTAGGTGTGACAGCTTCTCTCTCAGCTTGGCCATGAAACTCGGGGAACTCTTAAGTTCTTCCCAGTTGCTGTCTATGAAGTTTGTTCTTTAAAAAATTCCTTTTCCCTGAGTCACAACATGTTAAATAGTTCTAGTCATAATCACTCCTTTTGTTGTAACTTACTTCAGCAAGCAAAATGAAACTTATAGTAAAACACAATGAATTTTTCTCTTTTCTCTGACCTTCTGCTTTTCCATGTATTACTGAGTCAGAGCTGCCTCGAGTTTTCAGAGCCTGTAAATTAAATGGGAGAAGATTGTCCATCTTTCTCCCTTGGAGCAGCTGGTGAATTCAAAGAAACTGTGTTGGGACCACAAGTTCTTACCCAAGATACAGCCTGGCAGTACTCTTTCTAAAGCATATCTGTTTGTTCTTTATATACGTATGTTGTATATATGGTTTCTACGTATAATGGGAGATTATTTCTAACTCTATAAAGTATAAAAAAGAGTAGTCCTGCTGGATAGGTAATTCTTTTCTAAGTTTTCCAGAATTCTGGCTTGTGCTGGCTTCTCTGTCATAGAGATATGGCTCCCAAGCTTCCCGAGTACTTGTCTCAAACTTAAAGTTGGAGTATGCGAGCAGGGAGGATGCCACTTGTTTTCCTAGGCCAGCCTTAGCATCTCTACACATCACTGTCATTCCCAGTCATTAGTGGCAAACTAACAGTTGCATGCACTCACCTGATGACAGGAGGCTGAGAAATAGAGTCTGGAATGTAAACAAAGTGAATTTTTGTTAACAGTGCAACTCGCCCTGGACTTTGCACAGGAGCACTGTAAGAAGTGGATTTGGGGATGAATCAACCAACCTGTCTCATTCAGTCATATTTAATGGTGTACCTATGCCCAGAAAACTTTTCAGTACCTTAGAAATGTGTTATTTTTTTTCTTCTAAAAAAAGCTAAATATCACCCACAAAAAAAATTATTCTTATTTTAAATAATAGAAAGTAATAGACATTATTATTTTAAAAAAAATAGACAGTATGGCAATGTCTAATTCTACTGAAAATATATTATCTTGAAATAGAAGGTTAAGAAACAGTTGAGTAAGTTGAAATAAGTCCTTTTGGACTACAGTCAGTTATATGCTAAGAATAAAAGAAAAATTCATATAAATACCTAGGGTAACATGTGTCCTTAAAAATTGTGCTTTTTGTTTCTTAAACATTAACATCAAATCTGTATAGTTTGTCTCCTCTTACTATGTGTAAATTCTACCATAATCTAAATGACTGGGGGAGTTTTTAATTGATGAAACCCAATTGTATGTGAAAATCTTATTGATGTCAAATCCAAATAGAAGTTACATGAAGAACAAGGTGGTGAACAAGGTTCTGCTTGCATAACAGGGAATTAATTTTCTTTTACTACTTGTAGGTAAAGAAATCACAGGAGCTCATGACCTCATCATACATGCCATCACTTAGCATTTGAGTTTTCTTTCTCTAGAGTGAAGGAAGATGCAGCAGTGCATTTGTTGGCCATACAAAGACCAAGTTGTAGAATTATTGAAACTCTGAATTCTGTCATTAGTTTGATGTTTGAAAAGACATCTTCCCATCTGAATTCCAGCTGTTTACTCTTATTTCAATAGCTCTTTGTTTGGCTGAAGCTTTTCATTTGAAATTGTAAAGTGTCAAGGGAAAAGGTATTGGTTTGCAAGTTTTGTACAAGGGTGGCACAAACCTGAACTCTTTAGAATCCATTATAATATTTGTTTGCAGTCCCTTCTGTTCAATTTGTTTCTCGAGTAAATCTCAGGACTTTTCAATTATGTCTCAGGTCAAACTTTCATGAGCTAGCACCTTGTGTCCTCCTTACGACTTAAGTGCAACTTTGAGTCTAAGTATTTATTTTTTAATCATCTTTCCCAGAAAATATTATTTCAGTCTTCATTCTGAAGTAATACTTTGTGCGTCTTTGATTTTACAGGGAACGAGCATTGAACACATCCCAGCCCGGGTCCCTTCAGCTTACTGTAGGAAACCTGAAGCCAGAAGCCATGTACACCTTCCGAGTTGTAGCCTATAATGAATGGGGACCAGGGGAGACTTCTCAACCCATCAAGGTGGCCACTCAGCCCGAGTGTGAGTATGACAAAGGAAGGACAATATTGAAAAAGTAGTCCTTCTCATCTGTAAATATCTTGAGTCCTATAATTTTCCTGAACTTAGAAAATGGATTATGAAACTGCTTTCTAAATTATCTTCAAGGCAAAGCAACTTAGGACCAGAATGCCCCTCTCTATTTGAGCCTTATCTCCATAAGGTCAAATAATAAAGGTCTAATTTATCATTTTAGAAGCAGGAGTGACATCCACTTCCTAAACAGCATGCCTCTGGAAGCTATAAATGACTATAGTTATAGAAAGGCTTCAGGCCTTTTGTTCATAGGCTCACTATGAGTCATGCTCAACTTGACACTAATCAACAACATAACAACAATCTATTATTGACACAGTGGCTTTAACAATGCGCTTAAGCAAATCAGAGATCATGAAATGACAAAGGATAGGATGAGGTTCAGATTCAGATCTGTTCTTCACAGGATTATTATGAATTGCAGTTGAGTTGACTCATTGGCCCTTAACAATAACAAATATCTGTTGTTGTCGGTTGCCTTTGAATAGAGCATGATACATAGCAACCCTATGAACAAAAGGCTTGAAGCCCTTCTACAATTACTGGCATTATCCAAGTTCATAGGGTTTCTGGAGGCATGTTATTTAGGAAGTAGATGCCACTCCTGCTTAATCCTATATATTCACTTTCAAATAAACTGGCATATATTACTTGAGAAATTATTTCATGATTATTGATTTTCCTCATCCTCCCTGGACTTTTCTGAATTTTTTGGTCATTTTATATTTCAAAGGCAAAATAATAATGACATAAAACTTCCACATACAAAAACTTATATTGAAGAACCTAAACTGGAAGTCAGTACATGCGAGAAGCTACCAATGTGAGCTTAAACGTAATTAATGTAAACAAATAATGTTTACTAAACAACCCCAAAGAGTGGACAAGTCTGTCTTGGAGAAATTGCAAATAGAATGCACCTTAGAAGCAAAAATGGTAAAACTTCAGCTCACATGTTATTGGAATGTTGCAAGGAGGGGCTAGTTCTTGGACAAGGACATCATGCTTGGAAACATAGAGGGTCATGAAAGAGAGGGAGGCCCTACTGAGATATTAACATAGTGACTGTAACAATGGACTTGAACATGGCCAAGATCATGATGGTGCAGAGTAGGGTAAGCTTAACAGCATTAATCAATACTTATGAACTATCTCACACTCTTCTCAACTTTTTCTAATTTTTTTTCAAAGTAATCTTAGTTCTGTAGAATACAGTGATCAATGAAAAAGCAATGCACAGAAACAATGGAGTCTAAATTTGTCACTCAGCTTTCCATATACTCTCCTAGCGGTAATGCTTTGAATTAATGCGGTACATTTCTTGTATTTGATAAATTAGTATTGAGGTATTATTATTCACTTAAGTCTGAAGTGAGCACAAGGTTCACTCTTTGTATTGAACAGTTTTATGACTTTTGGTAAATGCTCAATGTTATGTGTCTACCACTGCAATATCATGCAGAATAGCTTCAGTGCCTTAAAATCCCTTGTGCTTCACCTAAGTATCCTTGGGATGTCAGAACACTTGAACTTTGGCTTTTCTAGCCATTATGTTGGCTCCTGTTGGGGTGTGGAATGATCACCAGCTATCTTAACTGCAGACACATTGTCATTGTTGTTGTGTATCATCGAGGTGGAACCAACCCTTAGCTGACCCTCCAGTGGATTTTCAGAGACATTTAATCTCATGGGAGATTTCTCATCCTTCTCCTGTGGAACAGCTGGTGAATTCAAACCACATGCCTTTGGAATTGTTACTAGACTACCAGAGCTTTGTGGTCTTTCAAATAACCGACAGTTGTGAGACCAATATGTGAGAGAGTGCTTCATACACTTATGAGAGTACAATGCTTCCCACACTATGAGAGAGGACAATGACGGTGGTGGAGAGAGGAAGAAGGAGAGAAAATGAAAAGATAGTGACACTTTTGTGAACAAATTGTGGAAAGGTGTAACTAGAGTAACCCTGGAAATAAAGAACCTAGACTTTCAGTGGTTGACTGAGAAGCTGTTTTTCATTAATTGAGGAATTATGTCTTCTTGTTAATCATATTGGGAGTGCTGGACTAAACTTTGATTTGCATAAAAATTTTTAAAGAGTAACAAAGACAACAAAAAAAACAGCCAAAACTGCTTAAAGCTTAATGATTTCTGCTCTCATAAAATGAAAACTGAATTTTTAAATGTAAATAGCCCATATTTGCTTATCAGCCCATGCTACAACCACAGCAAAATTTTTCTAAGAAAGTGATGTAAATATATTTATAGCAACATATTAAAAAGACAACCAAACAGCATAACAATTAAACACTTAAGGTAGAGGGGAAGGTAAGGTTGGAAAATGCACATTATTTGTAAAATTACAGTCACAATTGCATATTGGAAAATATTTCTACATGTTATAGAATTTTTATCTTTCCATAAAGATTTCTAGTGTAATTTGAGAAGATGTATTATTGATAATCACATTTTCGGGGTTATTTGGTTTCCTTAAAAAGGATAATATAAGAGCTAAACTCACTAATGTATTATTTGGAATAAATGCCAGTGTTTTGGATAACCACTTGCATCTATTCCTTTAAAAGGGATGCTATTTAATTTTAATACTTCTTAAACTTTAAACATTGTTTAAATTTGCAGTGACTTCAGATGTTTAGGAGAAAAATAAAATAGAAAGTGGAAATAGTTCCATTGATAAGTGTGTGAGATGATATTTGGACTACTTCAGATTTTGAGTATTTTAAATGGACTTGCTGAAGAAGAGTGTGTGAACACTCATTTCTGGATCAGGTGCTAACTATCGCCCGATCTGCACTTGGGAAAAGTATTCCTTCTTTCTTCTCCTTGGCAGAGGCTTTATAGACGAGATGATGACAAATTGTAATGTAATGTTTAGTAAGAAAATGGGAAGACCAAAATAAGAAAGTTTTATACATCTTTGCTTCAGAAAAAAACAAAACCAAACCCTCTTTTAACACCTTAAAAGATATGAGACTAGACAGGTTGGAAGGAGTCATTAGGGAATGCATTCTCTCAATTAGGAATGAATATATAAGTGTGGGGTCACTGAAAAGGAAAATACAGGACCCCTTATATTATTGATGTCATATTAAGAATTCCAAGACAGTGACTATAGAGCAATATGGTAAGCTCTTTGACTGGCTGGGCTATTTTCTGTGTGTGGCCCTTATACATGTTGGGTTACTTTGCACGGCCATGAAAATGACCTTGCCCCCAAAATACCCTTGAGGAGTATTTTATTGTTGTCTAGATGTTAATCATCAGATAATGCCTCTTTCCATTCCATAATGTCTACATTAACACCACATTTAAATTGCCGTATTTTTCTTAACTTTTCATATATCATATGCATAGAATCAATGAATTCTTCTATTTCTATTTTCAATTACTAGAGTTGGATTTTAAAAATGAATCATAGTATGTGTTTTAATTATCTTTAAAGTAGGTTGTATAGAGATGGAGAATTTAAAAACCAACAAAAATTCCATTTTAAAAAAATTTTGTTCAGATCTCTTATATTAGAACATCTTACTTAAAAGCATGCATTTTTAGAAGATTTAACTTTGATAGATTTTTATAGGATCTTTTACTTCCTAATTCCTGTTTTATTATACTTATAAGTGCTTTACTGTATTTCAGAGCTAGATAGCCATTAGAGTTTATCTGATAAAATTCCAGGATAAACTTACTTTCTAAGACAAAGAAAGATATATTTTGGGGGGACATTTTGCATGGGATACGCAGAATAGTAAGATCTGTTTCATTAACTTAGATCAATGATACTGTGAACAAACTCTTAACTTCTTTAGAAATAATGTTGTTGTTGTTGTTATGTGATGTTGAGTTGCCTGCAACTCTTAGTGACCCTATCTATGTACAACAACCCTAAACACTGTTCTATTCTGTGCCTGTCTTATTGTCTCTGGCACCCCTACCCCTTTCACCCCAGTCACTGAGTCAATCCATCTCATTGAGGGTCTTCCTTTCCTGCACTGTCCCTCCACCCTCCCAAGCATGACATCCCTCTGAAAGGACCAGTCCCACCTTTCAACATGTCTAAAGTATGTCAGATGAAGCTTTAGAAACCTAGTCTCCAAAGAGCAGCCTGGTTTAACCCTTAGAAATAATAGGATAAATAAATAATGTTATTATGGCTAATAGGTATTCCATATGTATTTTATCTTCTGTTATTAGGACAAAATGCCAATTTGGGGCCGTGAAGAGCATTTCAGCTTAAACCAAACCTACTCAGTAATAGACCAAGTGCTGAGGAAGACAGAACATTCTAAAGAGCCCTACTTCTTTTCCCTTCCATCCTTCTCTCCCCCTCTCTGCTCCCCTTTATTCCTGCCTCTCTTACTCCCCTCTTGCCTTCTTATAAGCCCATATTTCTGTCTTCTTAGAGGAAATGCATGGGCTGATTTCATTATCTGGCTAGAATATCAGAATTTAAAGGAATAAGGAGAAATGACGTTTCCATCATCACTTCTCTCCCTGACAAAGTGATCTTATCTTTGGCAAATGGGTCTCGTCGGGGCATCCGTTTGGTAGCTGCTTTTATCACTGTTTTCCCAAATGTGATGTAGTAAATGTACACTAAAATTACATAGCTTTTATACAAATTGAATTTCACGTTTTTCATATTATTTGAAAATATCAATTCTATTATGAAAACCGTATTCTCCAAGACTAAAACCTGATAGAAAATATGTCTGAAATATAAATCAGCCAGCGGCAATGGTTTCCTAAAGTGCATGCATTTTGTAGTAATCATTTAAAGAGATCAACAGACCAAGATCCAGTTTATGAAATAATCACCCAGAATAGAAAGGCTTGATTTATACGAAGGTTTGTTCCTCCCTGATTACATCTTCCTTCTACTGAACCCCTACTCCTTCTCCCCTGACTTTATGGTATATAATTTC